AAGTGATTCCGCTTTCTGGAATAGACCCCACGCCTTCTCCATTTTCATTCCCAAGAAATTTTGACTCGTGCCATCTGTGAGATATTTATAGCTTGATGGTTGAATCAGCGCACATTAGTATTGTTTTCCAGTCAGCCTGCAGATGTGTGAGGCGAAATAAAGAATAACGAGCTATAGTTGTTTCTGGCGCCTGGCAAATTCTGTTTTTGTGCACCGCAAACTGTACCTTGTTCAAACAGATCAAAAGCATGACATTTCACTAACTTCTCCTGTGTTCAAGTTCCAAGGAGTATCACTTTCATAGAAATGTCAACCGATTGAAGGGTAGTGTGGTAAGCACTCAGTTAAGGCACTCAGCTGAGTTATGCTGAGCAGGCTAGAACCTCTTCTCATTTAGGTAATGGCTTTTATCCGTTGTTTGTTGTTCATCTACAAAGCCTCATTATACTACCCAATTTAGGCGCTACGGTAGGTAACAGGTTACTCGCATACAACGCGCTCATATTTGACGTAACTATTGGTAGACTTTGCTGGTAGTTTTTTCTATACCGTTCTCGCTGTGATCACTAGCAGAACGCACATTCAGAGTTCAAGGTCAAACATTGGTTGAATGGTTGTCACTTGGTTAACAGACTAAAATTTAGGATAGAGTGGATACTCTAAGCATGAAACGTGATGGATAATGAAAAACGAAGTTCTACTGTTTGAATATTTCATCCTTGCAAAGAATACTAACTGTTGTTTACGTCAAAAAGCTCTAAAAGGATCCGAACTTCAAACTCTCCAGATAGAATCCAGAAAACCAATTTTACACCACGTACGATCGATTAACGTGTTGTTAATCTGCTTCTGTCAAGCGCAAACTGGTGCTGTAATACTGGTAAAAAGGAAAATACACCGCTGCGAAAACGTTTACCAGCAAACACCAACTCAGCAGCTATTAGACATGACCACAGACTACTCACGTGGTTCAGTAGTAGTATACGCCGTTACACTGGTAGCTGGGGTACATTCATTGGTAGTTGATACGGAGGGCTGTTCCGCCCTTCGAGTTTGCTAATGGTCTCCCAAAAAACTCGTTGCCATTCGATGAGGCAAAGTCAGTGCGCAAATAGATATACAGATACTTTTTCAAATACCAACGATTGAATTATCGTTAGCCCAGGCTTTGTGGATGGCCCGTGAGACTCGGTGCACTTCAACTTCAAAAAGTACCAATGATGTAGGCTCTTCGAAAGGCGGAGCCTATTCAACTGATTTTTTCGGGCCAGCAAATAACCAGTGACCACGATTATTTTTCTGAGTGCCAAAATCATTGAGCTAAATTATGTTAAGCTGCATCATCACATTAGCCGCATGATGTTCAGTCTGTAGCTTTAAGTAATCCAAGAAAATTCACTCCACACCAGAAAACTTGATTTTTGTATTTCCTACCACTCATTTTTATTATTAGGAACCAATTTCTTTACACAGGAAGTCATGATTATTCTGAAATCGTTTTGCGCAAGAACCATTCAAGTGAGCATTTTGGAAAAATTTGATTTACTGACTAACCTGCTCAAGTTGGCTGCTTCCCGTTAACAGCATTTCAGACAGCGACGAGGACTTACTTGAGTGGTCCAGTAATCAAAGCTGATTAGAATCTGGCTTGTTTCCGGAAACTGCGAATTCTGTGTATATAAAGCTACTTAAACAAGAAGTGCGAGTCTCACAAAAATTGTTAATCGGCAAACTGTACCGCTAGTTCTACGCTCAGTTTTGTTCGAATTCCAAGTAGAATATTTTTTTAGTTACTTTCATTTGTGGGTGGGAATATCTTGAGATAAGGCGATTAAGTCCATTGGATTATTGATGCGTTTAGCTTTAAAGCCCTTCAGTTGATGAGTTTGAACGAGTAAACTGATTGAAGGGTTTTGTACTTTAGGGCGGAAGCTTTGTTTTTCCTGATCTGCTCATTAAGGACTTTAGGAATGAAGAGAGTGTAAACTCTGAGACTCATTGCCTTTTAGATCGAGATGACAAAAGAAAGGAAGCAAAAAAATATCGATCATGACGTGGCATCTTTGCTATCTTTAGTGTGCACACATCTATTCAAATCGGGGGTTAATTCCGGTGAATCGCGCACTAACCTTCTGGAATTCCCATCCTACAGTCTAAGTCTGTGGTTTGTTCTCAAGAAGTGCTGCGATCAGTCAGCTTTGTAAAACAAGTCGGCACACAGGCCTAATTTCCACTATCATGAAGGCCCGATGCACGACTGCTCAACCTGGATATTGTTCTGAACTTTTAATGATTGAAAGTGACCCATAAGTGTGCTTAAGCACCCTGAATATCTTGAAAATCACCTGTTATGAACCTCACAAGGCTGAGTGTACCTGTCACATGAAAAGTTGTCACTGTTCCTCAATCATTTCAAGCTAATATAGCCAGATTTCACTCCCAGGCAAAATCCGTAAACAACTCCTGACAGAGGAATCCCAAAGATCGGGGGCCCATGGAGGAAACCGTAGCGCGATCTCGCTTCCTCTGCGTAGATTTGACACTATGAAAACTCGAGACGCAACTATTACGACTGAATGCATATGGTCGGAAACATAGTTGGGACTTTGTTGAAAATTTAGTGAAAACCAGAAGTTCACGTTTTTCAAACAACTTGATGATTGTGCAGTATTCTGCACTTTGTTCTTAGGCATTTGCATATAACATTCCAAAATAAACGGAACGATAGTAAGATATAACAGTCAGATATAACAATTAATTGAGGGTATCCCCGTGCAACATGCATGGATTGTGTTGCTTGTTGACCAAAAATCGCCCAGACCCAACTTCACCATTTTTTGATACAGTACACAGCTGAGTTCTGATGGTCGCCACTACTGACAACGTAAACGTTCATAATAGATGTTTTAAAGGCAAGTCAATATATCAACTCTGCACTAATGTTCATTTACCAGGCGTACCAAGATGGTGTCGTCCGTAGGAAAAGTTTTGGGAAATTCTTGCAAAACACAGCTGACCTTAGCTTTGGATTCCGCCATGCAGATGTTTGGAAAAGATAGAAGATTATATTCTGCCGTCCAAATTTTTGCTTGCTCTGTGCAACGAAGGTTTGCTCAAGCGAATGTAAGATTCATTTCTTTGAGTAACAGTTACACATCGAAGCCTGGTATCCCCCTCAACCACGAGTTGGTTTCACACTGGTTTTGCCTCCACTTTTTCATAGGTAATTTGATTTTACGGCTATGGTAATCCACCGCGTCCCGTTTACTGGAGCTAATATAATTTGGCAGGCGGTTTGATAAAAATATGTCGCATATGAAGAGTCGGTATCCACGAACAGCTGTCAGAAGATATAGGACTCTAATAAAGCTGGTTGGGCGCTTGATGCGTTGTAACACAAACTGATCAGAATGGGAAATGAGGAAAAGTCATTCTAAACGTACGTAGACGTTGCTGAAAATTCTTCGACAGCCCAGCTGAGTCTCTCGCAAAACCAAATTTGTTTGCCAATGAATGTAGTTTGCTAAGTCTAAATGTGCATTTGAAAAACTACTCCATATTAAGAGAAAATATGTCGAAAATTGCATAAGAGTGAGTGACTTCTGTAAGTGCGCTGTATAAATTTATACAAAGAGTTTGCACACCAAATTGATCAAGTGAGAGAGCGGAGGAAAAATCGATTAAGGCAAACTTTTTTAAAGTAGATGGGAAGACATCTGTGTTTAAGAATCAGCCATATGTGATTCTCAGTGGAACATCTCACTCAGGTTGATTTACAGTGCATTTTTATCTATTCATGTGATATACATGTTCGAAATTCTCAAGGGGAACTTTTACGGTTGGTCAGCGCACTAAAATACTTTCAAACTTCCAACGCGCCTAACCGATTTAATTCGCCCTTGATTCCAAATAGCTTCTTGTTTGTGCATTTAGGTGCACCAGGAAATATAAATTAAAGCTTGTGGTCGGTTAGGGTGATAGACCTGTACATAAAAATCGGCGCTTTTAGGCGGCTCCCTTATTGCGGGTGCTCAGTTTGAGGTTTTTGTTTAGGTGGAACTCAACAAGTTTGAAAAGTGACCTAACTACTGTGAAATTTTCCATAGTCACACCAATCTCGTTTGAACGTCATCCTACTGATCTGGCGTAGTATTCCGGTGAGTCCACACCAAAGGGAAGCACCGGACTCGGGTTTCGCTCTGATTAGAGCTCATCAGCAGTGCATATTCATTGGACGTGCCGGGATTTGAATCCCGGACATTTGACATGCGATGCAAGCGTGTAACCACTGCTCCACCAACGCACGTTGGACGCGTCCGAATTTTCACGTCTGAACAGGCGAACGTGTGCACGCTTGAGCGATGTAATCCGTGTGCCCGACTAATCGAACGACAGCCCAGTAACTGTCCTGGTTGTGACGATCGATTGACCCGCCAGTCAGGAGTTCCCAGTCAGGTAGCGTGACACACGCTTGAAACCCACTGGGCAACTTTTCGTTGCAGTTTTGGTGTTTTGCGGGATATTTACTTTGTTCATAGTCACACCACTCTCCTGTTGCTATCGTCCTCCTACTGTGAAATTATAAGATTCATCATATACCATACATCATTCATCATACAGATTTCGGCATGTGACTGCAGTAGTTACCCATCTCGATTTGCAGAAATCGCGTCACCCTGTATCCAAAAAGCATAATATACCATGTTTAATTTACTTCAAGCAAAATGCGGGTTAAAAGTATGCTTCGGTCCTCACGGAAAGGAAGATAACTCGCAGTTTGTGGGGCATTAAACATCAGCATTAGCGGATCAACGCGTGATCAGCTTGTAGATTCGACCAACCAATGGAACGAATCCAAGATCAACCCATTATAGAGAGCACGCTGATTGGTCATCTGCGGAAGGACGAGTGTAATGTACCGTAAGGTTGTTGGTTACGGTACAGTTTGCGTTTGAATGCCAGCTTACAACAGTTCATAACTGGACTCATAAGGAACTTAGATGATCAATGTGAAGGGGTTTGAGAACAACCTCACAACTGTTGGAAACTTTACCCCACTACAATGTACCCTGCTACTCCGTCTTGCATACGATGGAATAAGGGTTGAACCGGAAGAAATACTACGCTGTCTACAGCATCCATACACACTCACTGAGGGTATAATTGTTGCAATTGTGCTTCTCTTATTATCTTTATTGACTGCTTTTGGTAACATGCTGATTGGAATCGCCATATTGATAGTCCGCCGACTGCGCAACCCGGCAAACCTCTTGCTCTTTAATTTGGCTGCGTCCGACTTCCTCATCAGTGTCATAGTACTTCCATTCGCGATTGTACAGCAGGTCCGAGGCTACTGGCCATTCAACGAGTTACTGTGTGACCTGTACATTGTGTTTGACGTACTTTTATGCACCGCTTCCATTCTCAGTCTGTGCGCCATTGCTGTTGATCGGTATTTTGCCATCACACGTCCACTGACGTACGCCTCGAGTCGCACAATCAAAAGAATGCTAATAATGATCATCGTGTGTTGGATCATGGCGGCGTTGATTAGTATACCCCCGTTTTTCGGATTGCAAGAAAAGGTTTCCATCCCTTATCATTGTGGCTACACCGATGATTTAACCTATCAGGTTTATGCTACATTTGCAGCATTCTATATTCCTCTTATTGTCATGCTAGTTTTATACGGCCGCGTATATGCGATTGTAAGGAAGGTCACCGTACAGGACTCCTTGATCGCCATGCGGTTAAACAAGGGGTCTATAGATACTCAACGCTCCGCTACGATAACGGAGCAGATAATCAGGACTGATGACACGCAGTCGGCACTCATTACTTCCACACTTCAGCTTCCATACTCCGGCATGCTAGATCGAAGTAGCTCAACATTAGAGTTTGCACAACAAAAGCCGTCATTTCCTCAGATTGATCAATCCGATTACCGACACCTGGATCGCAATTCGGGAACTATTCCGGATGGGTACTTACGAGCGAATATCAGAAACCACGACATGAGGCACATGACAACATGCGACGGGAATTCACCTTCAGTTTGGTCATCCAGGTCACGATCACGATGCAGACAGTCGCGTGTTCCGGGATCCACAATGGAACGCAGAGTTCGTCGCAAAACCGTCACACCTACTTCAGAAAATATGAAGGCTGTTGTTACCTTGGGAGTTATCATGGGCAGCTTTACGTTATGCTGGCTTCCGTTCTTTCTTTATCAGGTGAGTCAGGCTGTTGCAGTTTTGACACTGGATTCTGTTCTGCGCTCATAGTGCAATGTGTTTCGGTGTTGTCCCTGACAGCGCATGGCAGTCAAAGGTTGGGAGTCTTATTATTATCTAATAAGCGGGCTCCACTACAAACGTATCTATGTATGTCCATGTGCACTTAATAACTTATGCTAACACTCAGGTTAAAGATTTGTGTCAGGGTACAACCCAAAACATGTTAGGTGGAATTTCCACTACGAAAACATCTCACTTTCCAATCGAAAACAAGCCCGTTATGTGAAGTTAGGAGCTCAGTAACAAAAGGAGATTGTGCCAGTGTGAAACTCGGAAAAAGCCTCTTGCTTTTCTATCTTCCATAAGGCTTGGCTGATAATCAGTGTATGGCATTTATGAGGTCAGCTTCAATGTGTTGCTATCAAGCATGTAAGCAGCATTAAAAAGTGACATTTTTCTATTTGCGCCTCATATAAATTGCTGCTAGGAAGTATCAGAACCGTTGGGGACTCAACGAGAACTGCAGTTCTAATTGTTTGTATTCCGTTATGACTCGTGTATAAACCCATACCTTCTCGTAGTAACGGTACCCACCCCAGCATTACAGAATGCGGTAGATTGCCGATTGCCTAAATCCAGGCAAATGTTTCCTCCCCACTCGGACCCATCAGCTGGGCGTACCTGCAACTAAATAGGGAAAGGCCTAGACACTTATCAAACCCGATCTTCTCTAATCCCAATAGATCAGGTGTACAAATCTGGTAAGCATGCACGTGGCCTTGAAATCAATTACCCGGAATCAATAGCACTCGTGACCAGTTGCCTCTATATCAGTGTAACCAGCCTCAATAAAGACCAAAATGTTTATATTCCCAAGGCCAAATGTTTTCCAGTCTCATCCCATAAATTCGTTTGATGAAGACGCGGTTTCCGTTAAAAACCTTGACTAGTTACTTAAATTGTCTGAATGCCCGGCAGTGGTTGGACATTTATAATATTCCAACGGCAGTTGGATCGACTGCACGAATGCATAATTAGTCTCAATCGTTGAAAAAAAACACCGAAAAGTGACTGAATTTGAATTGGATACAATAATTGACTTTCGCCCGCTTCGCACACTGTGTATGCATGATGCTGTTACCTGAGGTGTTTCACAAACCACGTGCAAGACTTTCCAAAGCCACTATTTTCTGAGTCACATGCTTTATGCAAGTCGATTAAATACTCAACTGCACACGGAGAAGGAACTTAGGATCCTTGCGTCGAACTTATAAGATTTATCGGTTTTCTTCACACTGAGGTTCAGGGAACATTCTAGCAGTAATGAGAAGCAAACTTTGGTTATACAGTATACCTTATACTGCATTTCCGCAGTAACTGGTCATAAAGCTTTGCAATAAATCATGTTTAGAATGTGTATGTTGTGCGTAGTCAGCAAACGAAGCGGGATTAACACATCATTAAATTGGTGCACAACGGAAATCAGATACACGTATAACAACTTCCTTGAGAACAAGAGAATTCGCCTCCGCAGTAAGTTACTAGGAAATCATACAAAAAAGCTTCTTCAGGATATTGTGGGCTCTACTGAGCGGCAACACAATGAAATTTTTAGGTTACTCATGTTAGGTTGATCAAAGGATAGTAGTCTGACAAACACAATCTCTTCCTGATCCTTCAAGTTGAGGGTCTGAATAGACAGTATTTAGCCGCATACATTGCAGTGCGTACGCAGACTTTCTACTGCGAACGCCTAATTCTTCACTATTTTACGTACTCCATCTTCTGTCATAACCCAGAAGAATGTGCTAAACCTCCGTTCATGACCCAGCACTAGGATCTAGCACCGACCGCTTTTTCGCCACGCATCATGCTTGGCTGCAGCTTTTGCGTTCTACCTGACAAATATTCACAAGCACCTTGAATTCTGTTTTCAAACAAGGAAATCTGGTCTACTCAGCCTTTCGCGTTTGTACACTTGAGCAGGCAAAAACTTTATTTGCAATGATGCTGTTTGTATCCCAAAACGCTCCACCAGAGGTGCGCTCGTACCCTCATTCAAACTATTCAGATTCGCGCGAGGGGTCCGGATAGGTGGCCCGCAATCGAAGACTTTCCGACTATACATCCCAAACGAGGCATCAGCCGATCGATTTTCCTCCAAAGTAGTCAGCATTATTCACCTCCAATGTTCTGGTGGCATATTGCTAGTCAAATAATTGTTTGAATCTATCTAAAGCTTATTCAAACCAAATTTTACATCACTGAGGTTTCTCCGCCGGACTGGATTTTCCTTGCATTGGATCCATTGAAGGGAACTACTGTGCTCTCAGCAGCACACTATACTTCCTAATCATATTTATTAACAGACGGCAGTTCTTTAGACAACTAAAAGCGTTTGTTCTGGTTTGGGTGATGAATCAAACCTGTCGAACAATAACCGTGTTTCTAGTTAGTTGACTCTCATGTAGGATGAGATCGCAAACCGGTTGGTGACTTATAGACTATTGTGTTCTGGTTGATTTCGCTTTTGTGGTCACAAAAACAGCTTCTTGAGAACTACAGTTGACGCAGCATTGAGAGAAATAAAAATAACCCTTTCCATATTTTCAGTCAACTCTGTCGGTCCTTCCATATTGTAATTCAGACGGACCAGCCGGCCAGTATAATTTGTTTGCTGTATCGAGGGTATTGTTGATACAAACGTTCACAGAACAAAATCCCCTTCAATTTTTGGCGCCAGACAAGAGTTTGTTTGAAACGTTTGGATCTGCTGAAAAACCGTCCACTTGAGGTCCATTAGTTTCAAGATAACACCGAATGACAAAGAATAGCCCTGTTCTGCTGCTTGTAAGTACATACCGATATTTCTGTGGCTAGAGAGCTGCAATGTTTAATGTTTGGACTGCAGACTTCAAATAAGCGATGCTACAATGGTTTGCTTTCCTCAGGTCAGTCCACGTTATCTAGTTTGGGTATTTTTCACTAGCGCACTTGGAAGATGACACGTTGAAGTTCTGACGCATCATGGATTGACACAGTTCCTCTGAAGAATCTCCGTCTAGTGGCAAATCTCTTCAAAACGCAAAGCCCACAAAAGGCCATGTATTTTTGTTCCTCGTGGCCGTTCTTTCTAGAGGGATTGAAGTAGCACGGAGCGGGGTGATCTGCGACGATTAGCTTTTCACGAAGCACAAACTTTTGGGTTCAACTTCCCAAATACACACCAATAAAGATGAGCTTCGTTTTCGGTTTGACTGATCACCCTTTAGAGGGTGACACATATTCCTTAGTTGCGGCAGGTATCTTTTAATTCAAAGTTGTCCGTGTATTATGCACTGTGACTTCCGGGACAAACACACCGAAGATCTGGTGTAGTTCAAGCGACTAGGGAACCAAGTCATTGCTTCTTCTGGGCGATTGGGTAGTAAATTACTTTTGGCTGGTTTATAGAAAGACGGCAAAAGCAGCTTTTCCAGATCCCCACCGAGTGCCCGCATCCTTAGACAGAGACCACTGTATATCACTGTCTGAAGGTGTGTTGCGGGTATTTTATTCGAAAGCTCAAATCTAAGGAGGCGACCGACTGCAAATGTATCTCTTGACACATGCCTCTTGACATGCTTCGCCAAACCACACCCAGTTAATTCTTACACACGGCCTTAACCTTGACACAGTGGTTTTCAGCGTATTGCGTTTAACTAGAGAAAATCTGCAACACGATTAAGCAAAACAGTGCACCCTCAGAAATGTCATTTTAAGAGTTTGGTGCATGTTCATTTGAAAATGTTTACTGACAAGAACCGTGAAAAGTTTTCGTTAAGTACGCAAAATGTGGGCTTAATTTTTAAAAGTAAATTAGTAGGCTCCTGTATTAAAAGGTCGCACAAAGTAACAAACCGCGAACTTCTAGAAATTGTGCAAAGCTCCAACGCAAAAATAGGTGAGCAACTAGGCCCCAGACACATCCAGAACACAAAAGAACCAAATTCGAACACATATCCAAGCAGCTGTTCTGAATATCCAAAGGCAAAGCAAGAACAGAAGTGAGGATGTTCGTTGAAAATTACTCATCGATGGCCTTTCTGTGTCATGGGAAGAATCGCACGCTGATCGCAGTTGTTAAAGAAATTAAATGAATCTATGGACCGAACATCCAAGATGTTAAACTGACGTGAGACAAACAGAGAAGCAGAAAACCCAACAGGCTTGACAAAATTCTGGCATCTGGGAAACACCGCTTTTAGTTGAGCCACATAAACCACCTGTTCAAAAAAACGGTGTATACCGACTTGTCCAAATTGCCCAGAGTCATATATGGTGAAGGTCCAATCCTAGCTGCAGAGTAGTAGGTAACTTGGCTGGACGACTTCCCCGCAGAACTGTCCGGGCTAAAAGGACCGACTGTGGAGGACGAACAGCCGGCTAGTTGCTGGCATCCCGGAGGACATGAGCCTGGAAACACAGTCGATTTCGAAATATGACTGGCCCAAATTATGCCACAATTCGAACTCGGGACAGTTTTTTTTCCTAATTCAAAGTAACTGGTCTAACGACTGATTGTGAATATCACCAAAGCCGGTGACGTAGTCAACAGAAAAGCGTGTTTGCCCCGACCAATTCGCCTACCTGATAAAAGACTTCCGCCAGGTGCAAGACGCCATAGCTATTTTTAACGATTTCTTAATCGATATGGGATAGAAATCGGGGCTTTGTCCCTGACACAGTCCTATTTATCCTCCATTTAACAATCATCTGTGCCGGCTTATTTGCCCGTCGCCAAGGTGACATAACAGTCCAAAGGTGTTTACGTGACCCAACGATTCAGTGACGAACCACCTCGGCTGAAATGTAAATAGTTTTTGAAACTTTATTTTCTGTCAGACTTACAGGGGAGTCAACATAAAGCTCCACGTATCCTGCAAAAATGTTTGGAGCTAGCATGTTGCGTGAATTTCTGCCACCTTGGCTGATAGAAAATCGCAAACTGCAGTGACCAGTGCTTCATTTCGTTACCTTGGAAAATACGCGTGCAGCAAATATCACTT